TGTCACTTAAAAAAAAATTATTTGGAGAGCTTTTTTTCTATTTCCCTGGAAAAGCTCCACTGCATTTGTTTCTGAGTGGGAAAATGTCGGGATCTGGATTGTATTGGAACTGCTTATCCATTTGTAGACCTGAGTGTTTTCCCCTTTTTGGTTCTGTATGTGATTTGGATATTGACTTCAGTGTTGGAACAGACTTGATTGGTTTTTGCTTTCTGGGTTTAATTTTCTTTTTTTCGTTTTGTCTGACTTGCATCGAAAATTTCAAATTTTTAGTTGGTGGAGGCCTTTGGTTAGGTTTTGACTAGTATTATTGCTTTTTTTTGTTGTTGTTAAATATTGGTTTCACATATCAGCATATAAAGTTCAAAGCTTAAAAAGCTTAAAGTTTAAATACCACTTGTATTGTCTCTCCCCACATACGTTCCTAATATTTTCCATAAAATGAAAATATTAGCTATTTCATAATTAATCTGGATATTTTTTCTAATCTTTGTAACTTGTCTGAACAAGTAATCCCCATTGAAAACTTTATGTTCTGGCTGGCCAGACCTCTCCATCAATAGTTTGCTGGATTGGTACCACTTTCATTTTTAACTGAATTATTTATTTAATGTTGTAAATTGAGACAGATTTTTCATCTCTTGGGGTACTGAACGAAATTGCTCACTATATTGAAAGGAGACAAATTTCTAAGATATGTTTTTGTGACTCAAAAAATCACGAAGTTGGAGTTAGTATATTGTTGTAGTTAGACTTAAATTGAAAGATAAATCTAGATTTATCTTTACAGAATAACAATCTTGATAAAAATCACTATTCTCTATTTTTACATGATATGTTCTTAGTGAATGGCTTTCACAAATGCTAGAAAGTATGTTTCTGATGCAGGCCTTTTATTAGGGCTTACTTTGGAGGTGGTATTTACTTCATGCATATATTTCTTTATCCTTTCCTTGAAGATGAATGCACACATTCATACACACACACACACACACACACACAAACACACACTCCTCTCTCTCTGTCTCTCTCACACCCTTTTTTGTTACTGCATTGGTATTTCTGATCCCATAATTTATGTCAGCAAAAAATATTCTTCTGTAAAGCAGCAATTTTGTGATCAGACTGGTAATATGAAAACAGCAATTTGATCAACTAGAAAGGATTGAAGAAAAATCTAGGAGGATACTTGATATAAATATAATAAAGACATGATAATACTTTTATTTATTTTTTTAAATTTTCTTGATGTTAAAGCTAAAACATAATAGTTATATTTTAGTGGCAGAAAAGCATTGCATATGTAGAAACTTGTTCTGTAAAATTGTAATTATCAACTGTGTGCAAAAGTAGACACTTATACCCAGGGAAAAAAAAGCTGTGTAGCCGTAAACAATATGGTCTTATTTATCTCCTTTCTGTTATAAATTTGAACAGTTTCTTACCTTTCTCTGAGGTGTAAATGGTGCACGTTAGCAGAAATTTGTGCCAAGTTCAAGTTTTTCTCCTAACATTAATACTACTATTCCAGATCTACCTAGGATTTCTTGTCTTTCCCTTAATACCCCAGCAACTTTAACATAAGTAGACTTAGTGAAGAAATCAATTTTAAGGAAAGGTAATTATGAAGATCATTGGAGTAGTAGTTGCTCATCTGAGTGAAAATTTATAGTCTTGATCATACCTTTACTTTGTTTCTGTTTTCCTTTGAAAACATTTCTTATGCCACCACCCCCAGAGTTACCTGGTATGGTTGGAAGATTCCATACTTCCTTAGGCTGAATAATGATTTACATTTAGAAAACCATTTATTTTTATTATGGGTTGTTTTTTTTTTTTTTAAGCATTAGGATATATTTTAGGATTGTAATTTTCAGCGATGTGATATCTTGGAGGTCACTTTATCCAACTCAAGATCAAGAGCTTGAGGAATTTACCCAAGGTTCCAGGGCCTATAAGTGGGCAGAATAGGGACCAGAGAACTCAGGTCTCTTGACATTCATTCTGCTGCACTACCTCATTTTCCTTTGTCAGAAATGAAACAATCATGCACAATTCTGTGTATAGCACTTAATAGTTTTATATGAAGGCATATTTTTCCAGGAATATTAAGGTAAATGCTTTAAAGCCATAATTTTGTCCATTTATAATTTAATAATTTGTAGTTGATTTTTTTAAAAAAGGTAGAGTACTACTATTTTGGAATATTTCAGCTTCCCCTAAATGCTTATTTTTTCCCCCATACTTCTTGCTAATTAGTAAATATTCTTGGTACTCTTGTATTAAGGACCCATGTATATAAGAATAATGCATATTGTATTATAAATGTTTACTTGTAGTCTTGATCTATGAATTATTTAAGGCTAATTTTATCTCATTAGTGTTTATATCCCTCACAGCACAGTGTCTGGTGCACAGTAGGGCCTGCTAATTGTAATTGATATTAGAGTTGAGCATATTTGAATTTCTTTATTCCCATATATGAGATTCCTTTCCTCCTTTCTTCTTTCCTCCTTGCTACAGTTTCTTCACTACCATGAATTTTTTTTTATCTTTACTGTAGGTCTCACTTTTTTTAATAGCCATATGATATTGTTAAATCCTCTTAACAATATAGTACTTTTAATAAGTAAAAACATAGTCCCTCTAATTCACTATTTGACAAAAGTGATTTATTTTAAATAAGAGATGATCAAAAAATTCCAGTTAAAAATATACTAGCAAATGTTCAGGATACACTTCAATTTCATTTCACTGAGTGACTGGTGCAGTAGATTGTCAGAATGATTGGGCAGCTTTTACCAGCTCTATAAAGCAACTGTTACTTAGGTGACATGTTTCCCTGACTTTGTTTTTTTGGTCCTTACCCAGACAATTATCAACTTTCCAGTTTTCTATGGATATGAAGATTTACTCCTAGTCATCAGTGGGACCCCATGAAGTCAGCCAGAAAGCCTATGTCCAACTTACGTACCTTTGCAAACTTGTCTGGATTTTGATTGTATGTGCAAAACAGATTGTACTTAGTTATTCATTAAACATCTATTGAGTATCTACTGTCTGTCAGGCACTGTGCTAGGCATCTGAGAAACAAGGATGGTCCCTACAGTTAATGTGAAGAGATATCTTAATTGTATTCCAGAAGTGTATTGGTCATATCTTTATTTTGATGTTTTTACCTAAATAAATTTTATAATAACTAAATGGATACTGTTAGGTGGAAAATGCATGTTTAACAATGATATTGCTGTATTTTATTAAAATAGAAAAATATAAAAAACTTTTCCACTTAATACTGTATTCTGGGGATTTCTATTCTGTATATAATTCACTAATTTTAGGTCATGAAAATAGTCTATGTGGCTATCATTGCTAGTATCTTATTGCTATATACTTTTATTTAAAGATGACCAACACCGTTCATTAAAGTATCTCTTAATAAATTATTACCAAAAAAGAAAAAACTTTCCCAACTTAACTTTTTTTCTCAAAAGTAACTTTTTTTTTAATATATCTCATATAACAGGTTATCTTTCATGGTTCATTGGAAATCATTGTACATTATCATTTTGAGCATTTAGTTATTTTCTACTATAGTTTAGGCTGACAGTATTATTTAATTATCATGGAATAAGTATAGTATACACTAGTTTTGGAATTTTTAATGTGTACTAGATATATTCCTTCAAGATTCTCATAAGAAACTTCCCAGTTCTAGTTCTAAATTAGTTGCAATTTTTAATCTTTATTATGTGATATTGTTACTTTAACTTTAGTAAAATGACTTGGAAGTTTCTTAGTCAA